AGGCCATCAAGGGGTTACTGCAGTGATCACTGTGAGAGGTAATGGTGGGTTGGACCAGGGTGGTAGCACTGCAGGTGATGACAAGTGGCTGGATTCTGGCTGTACAAGTACCCCCCACTTTTTGAAAGTTCACTTTTATGGAAGACCTACATTAGTGAGATAGGGACGCAGCAGAGCATAACTCCTGCCTAGTTAGAGTACAGTGTGGGCCTTGGAAAAGGACAAAGTCTTACTGAGGCTTCAGGAATGTAGGAAAAAACAGGGTGCTTGAGATTGAAACCATGTAGTGATGTATTCCCCACCAGGACTCATTGCTCATAGTCATGTAGGTACATTAGTTTACAATAGGGAATCCGGGAAACCTTCACAGAGATAGGTTAAAATATAACTAGCATTCTGGTTGAGTCTATAGAAAACTCCCACTGCAGTAAGCATAAAACCCTAGACACCGAGACACCGAGCAGGAACCTTGCCCCTACCTGCACCTGCAGGGAGTTCCGTATTTTCTCTGAATAAAACTCTCTCTGTAAATCTCCTACCTTGCTTGTTCACGCAGCTCATTCTTCAGCTCTGCGAACAAGAACCCCGGCATCATTAGTACCTATTTTTGCTAACCAAAAGAAATCCATGGAAGATTTTTCTTTTCCAAAAAAAGGTGAAAACTGAAAATAGCGTTCAGTGTTTGTTTTGCAGAGAACCTTATAGAGGCAGCACACACCTTGAGCAGTGAGAACGGTATCATCAAGCTCCTTCCTGGGGAATTTCACTTAGCATGTCGGCACCAGGCCACCATAGCTTTGAACTGTGTCTGTGAGGATCTGTGCTTTATCTTGATTTATTTTGTACATCTGTTAGCATGAAGTGTCCTAAGGAATCAGGAAAGCCTAAGAGTTATTTTTTGGGTCTGGGAACACTTGAAAATGTTTCCATATAAATTAACAGTAATTGTTTTTTTTGCTTTACACCATTTCAGTTTAGAGAGGTTCCCCAGGAACGCTCTATTTTGGATAACAGGGGAAGCCTGTATTTTGAAAGGAGAGTCATCAGGATTTGCTGACATTGTGTATAAGGTATGGTTCCAAGGATTTTTGGTCAGAGGAACTGAAAAGGTGAAATTCCCATCTACTGAGGTGAGGACAGCATTAGGAGGAGCTTTAGGAAAAGATTTTTGGGGAAAAGATTGGGTGTCCAGATTTGGACATATTGAATTTGAGGTGTCTATTATACATCCAAGTGGAGAGGAATAGTAAATAGGCCCCGTCACTGAGGTGCTCAAAGTTAGAAAAATATGGAAACAGATTATTACAATACCTGCGAAAGGTGTTATTTCAGAGGCTGTACTGGAAAAGCAAGGTATCAACTCTACTTGTGGCACGGAGGACACAGAAAAGTTTCACAAAGGAGATGACATTTTTAGTTTGGTCCTGAAGGGTGACTAGGGTTCATTAGGTAAAGAGAGAAGCATCTTGTTTTACATATTCTTAGACCCTTGCACACAGTAGTTGCTCAGTCAGACCAAACCTAGTCACTAATTGTGTAACCTTGGGTGTTATTTTATTTCTCTGAGCCTCAGTTTATTTTGAAATGGAAATAATCATAGGGTTTTTGTGAGGATTAAATGTGAAACAGCACATTACCTAGTACGCGGGTTAGGGTTAATTCTTATTGTTGAATGAACAAATGAGTATCTTCCTTCTTAACCAATCTAGGCTAGGCGGATAACTTGGGAGCTTAAAGTCTTTTATATGCTCAGTAGTTTGTCAATAAACAGTGCTAGACTCTTCCCTACATCCTAAACGTAGCTCAGGAGAACAGCCCCTATAGCCTGGGCCCTCTAAACTGCTCGGAGTTACATTGCTAAAACTGTAATGAAAGGAGAGGGTCAAACTACCCTCTGCCACCCCTTCCCCATTCAGTGGTCCTCTCTCTCTCATTTTAATTTTTAATGACTGAGTAAAATCCCTTTAGATCCACAGTGAGCCTCTTCCCACTCCACAGGCTCTCTGAGACTCAGACTCGATTCGGTCGGCAAGCCTGGGAGGAGGTTGGCAACCTTGAGATGCTTTGACACTTGGAACCCCCTCCCAGCGGCTAGAGCTCCAGCCCGAGGCCCTAGGTAAACAGGCGCCCCCTACAGGTGGAAAGCAGCCCCACGCCCCTGTAGGCGGTGCTGGTTGCCGGGCAACCGGGGGCCGCGCAGAGACTGAAGCAATCTAAGAGTACGCGAAGGGATTTGGGAGGAGACCATTTCTCATCCCATCTACTGCCTCTCCGGCTCCCTCAGCAAACTGACGAGGTTGGGGCAGCGTAGCCCGCTGCTGTCTGATAATCTGGGCTCATTCTGGAAAGCAGAGCTTCACTGGGTGACCGCAGTTTTTGTGTGTGGAGAGACAATCATCTTTGCCCCTGAGCCATCTGATTTCACCTGGGAGCCGGAGTCAGTGAAGGCAAAAAATTTCTGGTTTGCACGTAGGGGCATTGCTGTAGGTGTGCATCCTCGGTGAATGGAATTCTACCAAACTGGGCGTGGGTGGGAATAATTTTGGTGGTTAGCCCAGTAAGGTATGAAGATTTTCCCACCAATGTATAGATCAGGGAACTCCTACTTAAGCCCATTAAGATAAAAAGGCCCCATAGGATTGACAATATATAAAGGAACACACATTCATACCTTGGCGGAGACAAGTTTCTTAGTGGATTTTCAGAATTAGGCTTCTCTATGGAGTTGAGAGAGATCCTGAGATTTGTGTGACCCCTGTGAGTAGGGACAGAGCCCAGCAAGAGGGAAATAAAGAAAAAGAAGTGTGGGGAGGGTGGTAAACATAGAATTCAGCAGCTTTCTAGTGCTGAATCTGGTTTGGGGCTAGCAAACACCCAGGTCTGTGGCTCCTCTATTAGGACCATGCTGAATCACCCTGTCCTTATGAGGGCCTTTGGGGACCAGAAATCCACAGCTCTTCCTCCTAGTAACCTAGCATTCTGGCCCAGAAGTAGGTCAAGGCAGGCCAAGGCCATTGCCACGATAACTCCTCTATTTAGGACTTGTCTCTTCACTCTTAGCTAGTACAACAGGAGCTTCAATGTGGCAGAGCCCCAGCCATGGCAAGCTTAGGGGAGAGCTGTGCCCAGAAGTCTCATTGTGGGCTTTCCTTCAAGGGTTCCAAGGCAGAGATAGCAGGCTGAGGTACTGGCAGCTAGAGAGGTACTGGTCCAGCCACTACCCCAGTCCACAACATCTTCACAGAGCACGATGGCAAGGGCAGGCTCTGCTCTGTGTGCCTGCAAACTGAACTGGGTCGGGGCTGTGCCTCAGCTCTATTAATAGCCCCCTAGCTGGGCCTGCTAGCCCTAAACCCGGATGCCAGGAACTGTGAGTCAGCAGCTAAAAATAGTGGAGAGCAACTACACCCCAACCCCATGAGCAGCTCCCCGAGGCCTTCCGCCCTCAAGTTTTTGTCAGTCTCATTCTCCAGTCCAGGGCCTCATAGAGGTTAAGTGCACCATAGCTGTCCAGTCCTTCTGGGAAGAGAGTAAGGCTATGCGGTGGTGGGCTCAGGGCTGACTACCCAAGGCTGGGGGCTGGGGCTGGGTGCTGCCATTCTGGCCGGGAGTCTGGACTGGGGAATTAAAGGGCCGCAGCCAAGAGCCTGGATGCTAAGAAGTTGAGGCTGCGCGGGTTGGAGACCCTGGAAGTTGTCAGGGTTAGGTGGGGAGGGGAAGAAGAGGCTGCAGGGCTGCGAGGCTGGGCGACTGGGAAGGGTCGGAAAAGAAGGGATGGGGGAGGAGCTACCTCTCGACACGTGAGAGCCCGGCAGTACCCGACAGCCTGGGCACCCCACAGCTTAGGCCGGCCCCCGATCTGATTGATGAGAGGAATCGGGAACGTGCGATAGGAAGGAAATGCAGCTTGAAAAGGTGTGGAAAGGAGACCTGCCCGGTACTAGGCGGCGTGGACCCCGGAGGAGACCCGGGCTAGGCAGCGGCCGAAACGTGGGCTCCCGGGGCTTTCCCCGCCACCCGCCGTCGCCCCCACCCACCGAGCCAGCTGCAGACCAGGTATGTTGGCGTGGACGGCTGCCCGTGTATGTATGTGCATGTGTGTGCACGGCGGGACCGGGGCGGTGAGAGAAGGGAAGGGGCGGGGTCCGGTAGGAGGAGGGGGCGGGAACACAAATTCAAACTCGCCTCCGTCAATCCTGAGACCGGAAGTTGCCAAGGGCCTCCTGGGAAGTGTAGTTTTTGGGACTGCCCTGCAACCGCGTGGGGTCCTGGCACAAGGTGCTGGTGCTGCCCCAGGGCCCAGTCTGGCAAGGTAGGGGAATGGAGTACCGACCCTCCTGACCTCGCCACCGCCTTAATTCGATTTCCCTTAGTGTGAAGACACGTACCGGAGAGAATGTTGGTGCGGTGGGGAGCTGAAGTGTCAGCCTCAGAGGCCCCTCCAGTCACCGTTTTTGCCTTCGCCCCTTTCCCCACCAGACTCCTCATCTTGGGCCAGGTCCGCACGGGTCACCTTCAGTGTTTTAGCCCAGGGACTCATGAGCAGCAAACACACTCGGGAACTTCCTCGTCGAGGGGGAGGTGGGCCAGGGAACCGGACCCTGCGTGCGTCCCACCCAGATAAGTGAACACTTGTGGAAATCGGGCCATGCCCTTAGGGTCCGGAGCCAAGGACACAGGTCCCCAACCAGCACGGGAAACAGGTGGCCTTCAGCAAATAGGTCACGCTGACGATCGAAAATGCCCTTCTCTTGGGACAGGTGACCACAAGGTGGAGCTACAGCGCAACTCTGCACTGCGTGCTTCGGCCACCCGGAACGCCCCCCGTGGCGGCCGCTCTCTGGCTTCTCTCCTGCAGTCCTTCATTGCCCCAGGCGGTCCTCCTCCCACCGTCAACCCACGAATCTCTCCGTGATGACCCCTCGATATCATGTCACATACAACTCTAGATGTAAAGTGCATCCTCCACCCAGACCTAGCACTGAAAAGATTAGACTGTGACCGATAGGAATTAAATTCATTGAATAACAGATTAACAGGCAAGATACATGAACCAACCTTTTTTGAAGAAAAGGCTGTGCACAGCAAAAAGCCACCTGTAGGCACAGAATTCCCTAGCTAGATGGGCTCTTTAGCCCCCAGCATCTGGGCAAGAAAGCAGCTAAATTGCAGGCGTCAGGGGAGACAGTTAATGGAGTGGGTTGGTGTCTCCATCATCTTAAAGTTCTCTAGGAAAGGCCTTTTGTCATCTCCTTCAGTTCCTCCTCAACTGTTCCTTCTACACAGGAACACGTGCATACAGGTCTGAAACATCATCTTGGCAATCTCCTTTTCACTTCCTCTGTTCCAGTTTCATTTGGGGAGAAACTTCTCATGATTCACTGTCTTCCCAACCACCTCAGATCAAAAAGCTCAAGGGGAGTAGATTCCATGGAAGCTTGGAGCATACCCACTATCTGGACAGTGGGTCCTTAAAGTTCAGAACCTCTAATCGGTAAAGTTTACCCCACCTCAACCCCACCAACAGTCTGCCTTGTTCACTCTCCCTTCCTTGCTGTTGTCCAGTGCAGACAGCCCCAGACTCTGGCTGGTGGGGATCCAGGGAAGAGCATTCACTCCATTATGAAGTTGTTGATCCTGGTCAGCAGCACTGCTGTTTCAAAGCCTGGGATGGTGGGGAGAGGGAAGGGCATATAGGGAGTGAGCAAGAGGAAGTCTAGAGGAGGAGAAAAATGAGGCAAGGGGAGAAAGTTCTTACCAGTTCTCTCTTTCTCCTTAGCACATCTCCTATTGGGAGAAAAGCTTCCCATTGTGAGTTCAGCCAGCTTCATGCACAACCTTTTGACCCCAGGTTCCCCCAAACTTCCTTTTCCCAGGTTCAAGCCAACTTGGTGTATAAGGAAGGGTCTAAGAATCTTAAAGGAACCAAACAGACCAAGCCCTGAGTCCCAGGCAGCATATATGAGTCTGAGTTGGCCCCATCAGCAGGACCCTGGGAAGAATAAAGACCCAGAAAGCTGGAGCACAAAGCACTCACCGTTGGAGGAGGAAGGTCCACAAAAGCAGCAGGGTAGAGACACAATTGGTAATGATCCACATCATTAGGTAGGTTTGAGGGGGCTGTGGGAATCAGAAAAGGCCCCTGTTGGTGGCCAGAGTCCCAGAGGTAGTATATGGGAGTGGGGCGGGGGTGGGGAATAAATAAAGAAGAGAGACACAGAGTTAAGGAGAACCAGGGATGGGAGGAGAAGAGGAGGGGTGCCAGTCCCAGAGTTCTTACAATAAGCCAGACAGGGTAATGCATCTGCTGCAGGAGCTGGCAGTCGTTGGTGGTGACTGAATTCACCCCTGCACACCAAAGCAGGGAGAAGAGCCAGGGCTTGTTCACTACGAATAGGTTCACTGAGACATTATCCTTGTGCAGTGCCCTGTGGAAGTGGGAAGAAACAAGAAACGTCCACAATCATGGGGCATGAGGTACAAGTCAGCTCCCATCTGTGCTTGAATCTGCAGTGTTGCTGCGAAGGGGCTGTCACTTCTACCTTTGCATAGCAGCCCCTGACCAAAAGTGATTTTCTTTGCATAGCTGAACTATCTCCTGGTGGACTCCACCTATGGTTCCTAGCTTTGCTGTCCAGGGCCACACAAATGTGTCTTCTTTGTCCCATGAGAGCCATTCAGAGGTCTGAGAAAGTGACCATATTCCCTAGAGTCTTCTCTTCTCCAGGCCCACCAGCCCCAGTGCCTTCAACCATGCGTGGGGCATGGCTTATCAATCTCTTCACCACACAACTCTCTTTAATCTGATTTTTTTCCAGTTTGTCAGTGTTCCTTTTGAGATATGAGGCCTGCATGTGAACATGCTATCCCAGGTGGGTTTGGATGAGCTTTAAGTAGAGCACACCTCTTCCTGCCTTCTGAGCACACTATGCCTGTACGAAGGCAGCCCAGGGTGAGGTTCACTTTCGGCAATGTCACGTGCCACTGATGACTCGTTCTGTACACTGTTCAGTCAAAGCCTTGGTCTTTTTCACATGTGCCACTGCTGAAGTCAGTGTCTCTTCTCTTGACATTGTGCAGTTAACATCTATTCCTGTTGCATTTCATCTTGCTACATTTGGACCATCATCTTAGAGTGCTTAGACCTTCCAAGGCCTCAATTCATCACCAGTGTATTCATTACCAATTCACATGTTCTGGAAACATGATCAGCAATCAATGTTGACCAGGATAAGACTAAGGTGAGGGCCAAACCTGATGTCGTATCTCCCTCTATGGTGACAAACTGGGGAAAGATCTGTGAAATACTTAACGATAACTGGCCTATCATTCAGTCCACATTTTTTCTATCTGATCACAAGGACATTATAAGAGACCTTGGTAACCACATGTTTTGAAGTCTGTCATGTTTACTGGCTGGGTCAGCTTCTGGGGCTCAGCTCACATCTGAGACACTTGTGCCTCTTTCTCCTGGATCCGTCCTCTTTTGCACTTATCTCTTTGGTATAGAATGAAAATGAAAATCCTTCTGCTAGCCTACAAGGTCCTACCCAATTTGACCCCTGCCTACCTTTCCAGCCTCGTCTTCCCTTTGTTCATTAGGCTGCTGCTCCTGCTCTTCTGCAGCCCTTGGGACGTGTTAGGTCTCAGCCCAGCACCACCACTTTAACCACTCTTCCCAACATGCCCCCTCCCAAACACCTCACTCCAACCCCAATCACTCTACTACATCTTTCCATTTTGTTGTCTTCATTTTGCTTATCACTATCCAATACGCCATTTTGTTCAGTGGTTTCTTGTCTGTCTCTTTCACTAGTACGCTCAAAGCCTTCAATAAATAGGGCCTGATGTATAGCAAGCATTTGGTAAATACCTGTTGTATGAGTGAATGAATGAGTGGCCTTTGTCATCCCTGCATTGGCTCTTCCCTGCCATTAAGCCTCAGGTGATCCTTTCAACTCCTTTCCTCTGATACTCACTTAATATCCAACAGTGGCAGGTCTTGATAGGGAAGGTTGAGAAACTGGGGCCTCTCAGTTCTGTTGCCTCTTGGCTGTCCATATATCTGGCGCATTCTGGGTGCCCGTTGTTGGACATTAGCCCGGTCTTCATCGGGTAGCCAAAGGACCTGTGGTTCAGGGAGGATGGACATGAAGCTGGCAAAGGCCTGGGGATTCTGGATTGGGGGAAGGGAAGAGAGCTTTGACCACAGAATAGGGTATTGAGCTGGGGTGGGGCCCTGGGACAGAGGGCAGCCTCAAAAGTATCACCGTGGCCTGGGGAAGGCAGGGTGTAGGGAGGAGTGGGCCAAGAGAGAGCACTTGGGGGCCTGGCAACATCACCATGGCTTGGGGCACCCTTGCACTCAGCACAGTGTCCAGTGTCTGGTTCACAAAAGTGTCATGGTATGTGTGGTTTTGTGGGGGGCGGCGCAAGTCAAACATGATGGAAAGGTTGAGGACAGCAGCTTCCTTCAATAGCTCCTCCAGTGTTGGTACTGTCTGATTCTCAGCCTCTTTCCGATCAGGGCCTGACAGCTGCTTAGCCTCCCAGAAGGGTTGCCTCTATAAGAATAGAAAAATTATTTTAAGACCAGAAGAAACCTCCAGACCATGCCCCCATCCTCACCATCTTCACTCATTTCTCCCACTTGGTGTCTAGCTTCTGAGCACCTTCTGAGCCAGGATCTTTTTCAAAACAGTGACAGTTTCCAGACCTGCTAACAGCTAACTCTGTGATCCCTCCCAACCTCCTACACTCCCAGTTTCCTAACTTCCTCTCTCCCATTATAGTTGCCTTTTGGTCTCTCAGAGACCTCTGGGATCTTGACCCCTTGGTTTCTTCCCAATCCATCAGCCTCTTTCTGGCTACACCTACATCCCCTATGCATAGTCCATCCACAGCTTGAACTGTGCTCTTCCACAGCAACCTCAACTCCTTTCCTGCCCTGCCTGCTCTACAAATCCCAAACTCTGATTCAATTCTACAATTGTCTGCCTGCTCCACCCCTAGAGTTGGGGGGCGGAGTATACCATGTGGACTGCTGGCTCTGTAGTCCTAGTTTTTCTCTCAGTGCCACTTAGCCAACCTTTACTTGTTCTTGATTTGTTCCCTCTCCCGTCCCTCCTGGTGGCTATTCCAAACCTCTGCCACTCTCCTCTCCTTCCCTTGTAATCAGCAAATGACCTTACCTCCTAATCACTGACATGGGAAGAGTGAGCTATCTGATACTTATTGAGAATTTACAATGTGCCAGGCAGTCTTAGGAGTACTTTATAAGGTGTGTTAATTTATTTAATCCTCCCAACGATCCTGCAGGGTAGGTACTGTTCACATTCACCATTTACAGATGAGGAAAATGAAACACAGAGACACTAAGGAGTATTTTACCTTGGCTCACAAAGCTCAAAGTGGTGAAGCTGGGATTCAAACCCAGGCATCCCTTGCTTTTAATCACTCTGATACATCATCATGTATAGAGTTAAATGAAAGAAAAAAGCTCCCGAAGAATTTGTGAAATGATCCTATTTGTGCAAAATGAAAAGTATGTGTGTGTGTGTGTATGTATATATGCCTGTATGTATGTATATGTATATATGGAATGTGTACCCAACTTTAACAGCAGGTATCTCAGAGGGGTTGGATTAGGAGAGAACTTTCAATTTTTAGGTTACTTCTCTGATATTTTGCTTTTTTACAAGAAATATGTATTATTTTTGTAATCAGGAAAAGAGGAACCAAAAAACTAAAGGATCCTTTTAAATATTTCCCATCATGGGCAGGACTGAAGTCTGTACTTCTGCTCAGGCATCCTTTACTGTGACACCATTCCAGATACTCTCCCACACCTACCCTGCCAAACAGTGACTTCCTTCTCTCTCCTCCAGCCGGTAAAGATACTGTTTTCTCTCTAAGTTTTGTATTTTGACAGCCTGTTGGCTAGAATCTGTTCTTTACTAGGAAGGAGTGACTTGAGGGCAGGGACTGTATACCTACTGGCCAGCACAGGCTCAGTGAATGCTTATATCAGTGAATGAACTCCGCCCTGAGTAGCCTTGCAGGTGGCCACTGATTCCTGAAGGCTGTCCTCACCTCTAGGAACCAAGCCCCGGCATTGAGCTTCTTCAGTTCAGCACAGGAGAAGTCGCTGCTGTGGGCACTGATTCGGGTTGGGAACACAGAGGCCACATCCGTGGTCCTGCTGAGGTGCTCGTCATGCATAAGGAAGGGGATCCCGTCAGAGCTAAGACACAAGGGGTGTCAGAGAACCAAGCCCTGAGGCTGGTCATCGCTTCCTGAACTCCCTTGCTGTGTCCCTCAGCACTCCCAGCTTTCCTCACCTGACCATCACATCAGTCTCAAATACAGCAGCTCCACATTCGGCTGTCTTCCTCAGGGACATCAGGGTGTTCTCGGGTGCCAGCTGGGAAAGGGAATTGCTGAGCAGGTAGCAGGGAAGGGTGAGGGCCTGGGAACCCTCCCCGCCCAGTCAGAATTGTACCCAGCACTTACCATGGGGGCCCCTCGGTGTCCCACCAGCCCAGGCTTGGTGGGTAAGTCTCTGGGTTCCATGATACAGGGTGAAGAGATGCACAGAGGGGCCAGGTAGATGGTCAAGGCAACTCCAAAAAATAGGAATAGTAGCAGAATCTTGGGACCTGTGAGGAGTGGGGGAACAGGCTATGGGGAAGGGGCAGTGGGCAAGATGGGGGGTGGGGGCAAGCAGAAAGTGGAGTGCAGATACAGGAAGCTGGGCAACAGGGCAGCAGGAGGCAGAAGCATTGATGGCCAGTGAGGGTGTTTTGGGGAGTGGAGCTGTCACCTCTTTGGTGGATATGGTAGAAGGTATCAGCCATAGGCCAGGCCAGGAGGGTGATGCCAGCAACTGCTCCAATATGAAGGAATGGGGCTGTGGCCTGTGAACAAGAACTGTTGAGGAGGGCTTGTCTCCCTAGTCCCTCTCCCCTTCTCCTCCTAGGACCTGACTTCCAGAGTTCAGAGCTACTTGCCATCTTAGGGGCCAGGGAGCAAGGTAAGTCCCAGGGTTGGCCATAGGCCAACGCTTCTACCTAGGCACTGGAGATCAGCTACTCACCTGCAGTGACAGATGTAAGCTATGCCATTCCTGCTGCCATTGGATGTCCAGTCCCACAAGGCCAGTGGCCACAAGAAGCATAATGAGGAGCAGCAGCACCTGGGGGACCAGGGATGAATAGGGCCTCCTGTGTCAACCTGGGTTCCTGGCTACCTGGGCTGTCCCCTTGCTCTATGAAAACAGGACCACTCCCATCCCCAGACTCATCCGCTTTCCTTGTTCAGGTGCTGAGCTCAAGTCCTGGGATAGAATACTGAGGTTCTCAGCAAGGAGCGGGACAGGTACTGGGCCCAGTGGCCCCTCTCCCGCTCCCTTGCATCCCCACTCTACCTTGTGGATACTGTGCAGATGCAGAGGCTGGCCAGAGAGCCACAGCAGCAGGGCCAGGAGCTGGTGGCAGAAGCAATGGGGAGTAAGGAGGTGCCAAGAGGGATCACTAGAGTGGGCTTCCCAGGCTGACACCCCTCCTCCTCTCCCCTCAGTGGCCAGTGGGTAGAGCTGAGTGGAAGGAAGGGAGGGCTGAGGTGGGAGGGGTAAACCAGCTGTCCCCAGACCCACCAATAGCAGGGATGCGTATGTGACCAGTAGAGAGATGACCAGCAGAAATGCCAGGGACCAGTCCATCCAGTGTCCCCAGTGTTGGAACAGGAATCTGTGGTAAGCGAGAGAGAAGTGTCCAAATGGGGAAAAGGGTGGTAATAGTGGCCTGAGGGCAGTGAGGGTGGGTGAATCCAGGAGGACAAGAAGGGTGTGAGAAGGAATCTCCCATGGGGCCAGGACTCCAAGGATTGGGGAGCCTTCAGAGGGATTTCCTAAAAAGGTTGGGTAGCAGGAGAGCTGGACAGGGCTGGGGATGGCTGAGCACCCAGGGGTCCCAGGGTGGGGTGTAGTTGGACATGTATGCTGAGGAAAGTGGTGAGGGCGGGTAGATTCCATGACACACTCATTGAAGTTGTGCAGGTCATTGAGGAGGATGAGCCCGATGTACAGCCAGCCCAGGGAGAGGAGAAAGGTGAGGAAGAGCAGACCAAACCAGATACAGTCGCACTGCAAAGGAGCAGGAGAGAAGCTCACAGTGGATCCCCACTTCTATCTCAGAGACCCCAACGGATGGCAGCTCAAGGGGGCTCCCTGCCAGGCGTTGGGCTGCTCTGCTCTGTAGGCAGAGGGAGATTTTCTTCCTGGGGAGAGAAAGCCCCTTCCCCGCAGCTGCCTCTGAGCACACTTGGCCTCCTTATCCCCTCCAAGCGGCCTCTGCCTTGGACTTATGCCCCCACCCCCATCTCTACTCCACCTTGCTGGTTTGCATCCTCTCTTTGGGGCATTTCTTCCAGTGGCAGCTATACAGGCAGTGGAGGCAGCGGGCCCATACAGAGCAGCAGCCAGGGGACTCGGCCATGGCGAGGGCCTGGGGGAAGGGACACTTTGCTATTAGGGACCCTGGAAGAAGGCAGATCGCAGCCTCCCTCCCAGTGTATCTGAGGCCAGGGGGAGGAGCAGAGGCCTAGGCAGCTGCTCAGCAACGGGGGTCATGTGGCAGGCCCTGAGTACCAGATTGGATAAGGAGGTGAGCAAAGGGGGACAGTCTCCAGGGTCTTTCTTTCCCTTTAATCTGGATACCTGGAAAGTCAGTGGGACACCTAGGAGATCCAGCCTCTTTGCAGGCAGGATGTATATCCACTCTCTCCAACTCCTCCCCTTTTAACAGTATCCCGCTGTGGGGTTGGAACAGTAACCACCCCCCCTCGCTGTGGGGATGGAAGGCCTGCCTGGGTGGGACTCAGGAGAAACTGCCTGGGGTGGGACAAACTTGGTTCAGCAAGTTGAGGCACATCTGGCCAAGCTTCAGGCAGCCCCATGTTGGGGAGCCTTCCACCCCAGGAACCAGGAGTAACCTGTAGCAGAGGTTCCAGTTCTGACCTGGGGCAAAGGAGGCCCAGCTAGTTGGCTAGTTGCCATGGATACAGAGATTGCACACATTGCAAAGTCCTGACTGAAAGATTCTGTCTCCTTCCAGGGGGCAGTGAGAGGAAGGCTTGAGGGGAACAGGTGCCTGGGTCACTCCCAGCCTTCTGAAGGAACCCTTTTCCTCCCCCTACACACCTGGAAAATTCAAGCTTCCTCGCCCCAGTCCTGTCCCTTCCTGCCCAGTCATTCCCCAACCCCAGCCAGGAACCCAGTCTCCACCTTCCCCCTTTCAGGAGCCCCACCCTCTGAGGTCGCTTTGATAAAAGTACAACAAATACAGGGCAAAGGTGCGTGTGCATGTGTGTGGCAGGGTGGGGGTGGTTGTCTTGGGGCAGGGGATCTCTATACCTTATGCTTTGAGGTCAGGCTGAGATCGAGCTGTCTTACTGATTCCCAGGCTAGCTGGGTGTGTGACTGTGATTCTATATGAGAGGGTGTGATTTGTGTCAGCATTAGTATGTGTGTGCGCACCAGTGGGTTGTTACAAGTGGTTTTCAAGATGACTTTATGTACAGGAGCCCCTGGAGATACCCAAAGTGTGTGTGGTCTAAGTGACATGACCCCTTGTAATCTGGGAACCCCTGAGGCTGTGGAGTCTTAGGGGGCTGTGCACAGTGGCTGGGTCCCTGAAAGGAGGGAGAGTGTGACTGCTCCTGAAACCGTCCTCCTTACCCTATGCTTGCCTTGGGGAAGGAGGATTAGGGTAGGGCCAGGAGTGGGAGGGGAACTGGAGCTGGGTGGGGAGAAGGAAAACTTTTTCTTGAGACCCCTCCCAGGAAAAAGCCATCCCAAAGGGAGGCCCCTGTCTCTTCCCAACCTGGGACTGGGTTGTAATAGCCTGCCCTGGGCTTCATCAATACCTCCTGCCTTCCCTCAGCTCTTGCCCCTGTACACCAGATACTGCCTTCTGGAGTGCCACCTCCCTGCAGGAGTTGTCTGTTGGATGGTGTCAGCATCTGAGCAGCAGCCTGAACACCCCAGTCCGGGAGCTGAGCAGGGTTGCTCTCAGCCCCCCGGCCCAAGCCCTGCCGGTGGGAGCCGGTCTCCGCCCCACCGCTCCCTCCTGTAGCCCCCAGCCTTCCCGAGCCCTCACACCTTTTCTCAGCGGCAGCTCTGCTCTGCTCTCCGATTTGCACTGCACTGCTTTCCCAGCTCCTCTCCAAGTTGTATGCCTCCTCCCTCTTCCAGTCCTTGGCTCAGTCCCACCAGTCAAACAGGTGGCACTGTTGCCACCTACAGGAGGCTATGTGGGTCCTCTCTGAAGGCCTGCAGCTTCTCTATGGACTGTGCCCAGCCAGGGTGGGAAGATGGGAGGGAGCAAGGGGGAGGGAGAGCCGATCTGCTCCTTTACTCGCTGCCGGTCAAGGGGCTTGGGGTGAGGAATTCTTTTGTGCAGCCTTCCCCATCGCTCTGTCCCTCCTCCTGTTCCCATCTCAATCACTGCTGGGGCTTTGTCCTGGCTCAGGGAGGCGAGGACTGAGGGCATGGACGTGTGGGGAGCAGGGGGGAGGTGACCACACAACTTTGCAACTTGGCAGTGGGGAGAAGGGGCCTAGCCAGCACCTCCATCCCCACCGCTCCCCCGGGAAAGGGTGTGTGCGTGCGCAGGCGCATGCGAGAAAGTCTAGCATCTAGTCTCAAGCTTCCTGGGAGGACAGCCTTTATTCATCAGCCTTCCTTCCCTCTTGGGATCTTACTTGTACTTCTACCCTGTGCATATAGCAGAGACAAAGCTGCAAGCTACCTGCCAAACTCTAGGCAGCAGGTGCCCTGTTTTTGGACCAGGCCTTGTGGACCCTGGGTGACATTTCCCCTTCCCCCGCTCAGCCCAGACAGGAGATGCTCATTCAGGACATGCCGACTTGCTGCGTTTTCCCCAGGGCCTCTGAAGTCTCTTTTCAAGACTCATTTGAGAAATGTATAACGTTAGGGTCACAGGCTTTTGGAAGATGTATATGTACAAAGACGCTGTACCTATGCCACGGGCAGGAGCGGGTTCTGGGTGGGATGGGTGCTGGGAGCTGGTCTGACAGACCTTCTTTCTCTACCTTTTGGCTGAATTAGTAGCTGGAAGCCTGGGGGCTAGTGCAGTTTTGGCGGGAAAGGATGTTTTCTCTAGGGAAAGTTTGTTTACCCCTCCCCCCACACACCCTGGATGTATACGGGTGAGAAGGAAGACTGGCTCCGATGCCAAGAGCTGCCCTCCGCCCTCTTGGCCTTCCCATTGTATCCAGGGGCTCTAGTTGGCAAGAGCAGAGGCTCCCTTGGCATTAAAATGCAAAGAGAAGCAGGGCTACTTGTCTGTGGGAGGCCAGAGAGGGCTGCAGGGTCACCTAGTTTCCTTTGCTGGGCTCTGGTGGATTTTAGGGGAGTCTTGGCTTTCAAGTGTCGAGTTACAGGAGCTTCTTTTTGGTGGGTGGAGTGAGCTGGGATTCAGAATGCATGGATACCGAATCCAGGGTGTTTGAACTCCTCAGAAGGCTGCAAAGCCAGTGAGTAGCCTGTGTTTGGCATTCCAGGGCTGGCCCGATTTGGCTCTGAGCAGAGATGGAGAACACTGATGCACAGTGAGTAAGCTCCACCCCGCCTTTTCCCTTTCAAAGGAGAAAGTGGGCAGCCAGTGCTGTGCTGTCCCAGGACTAGGCAACGGTACAGTCCCACTCTCATGCCTTGCCAATAAATCAGGCTGCAGGGCGTTAGGAATGGCGACTGCTGCTGCTCTTCAGTCATACAAGAAGCATTGGTGTTAGACCTGGGTTCAAGTCCTACCTCTATTACTCACTAACTTTGTTACTTCAGAGAAATTATATAACTTCTTTGTATCTCACTTTCTTCATCTGCAAAATAAGGACACCTGTGTACTTGAGCTTTTTTGTGAGGAGAAAATCAAACTGTGGCAGGCTCACGGAACTGCTTAGTCAATATGGTTCCTTCCTCCCAAAGCTAGAGGCTAGGAAGGCTCTACAGGGAAGGTTAGGCCACTGGCCTTGTTAGCCTTATTCCACTTTGCTAAGGTAGCAGGGCCACATGAAGACATGATACGGAGCCCCACACTCCTCTCCGATAAGAGGGCCACTATAAGATAGTGAGGCCTGGATACTTGCTCTGACTCTCCATTGTATTTCTCCCTCTAGCACAGAAGGAGCATTCCAAATAGTAGATGGACTACAATCTATTTATTTACTTAACATTAACATTTAAAAATATTTCATTTACCTCAGCAACATGGAAGACAATTGAGGGTACTATTAAAACACTTAAAGTCTACAGATGGTCAAGGCAGAAAAGATCCCAACCCCATTCCTGAGGTGGGGTGAAGGATCAGTGCCAGGTCTCCAATCCTAGGCCAGGCTCTTCCATTAACTTGAGACAACCTAGAGACTGGACAGCCTTACCTGCTTACAAATAAGAAAGAGCTAGAGTGTACTGGGGACTGGTTCCTGAGAAGTCATTAGGAAAGTCAGTTGGTTCTCTCTTTAGTCGGTGGCTCAGCACCATTCTGGAGGAGACAGAGTAGTAGTTGGACTGGGGAACTGGAAACTGAGGGCCAACACCCAACAAAGTTTCCCTCCATTTCAGTAACACACTGTCCCTTTTTTCTCAACAGCAAAAAACCTGAAATTGAGAGGAGTCACTAAAACCCCCTTCTTGGCTGCAACCTGAAGGGATCTCCCAAGCCAGGCTGGGGCAGAGATGATGAGTCCTACGTCAGTGGGCCTCTTCTTCAATAGGGGAGCAGCCAGAGAAGAAGCTGGTATTGCTGGCCAGAGCTCGTTTCTTTTTCTTCCCTGGAACTTTATTTTCTTGGGAATCTGTTGCCATGTGTTTCAAATCTGGGAGGCCAAGGGAGGAGGCAGCCAGAGCGGTCTGCTTCAAGAGCACCTGTTCCACATCACACATCTCTTTCAGGATCTAGGGAAGACAGAGACAGGTAGGATTAGGTCTTGGCTAGGGGCAGTGGCTTAGCCCAGCTGAGCCACTACAGTTGCTAGGCCCACTCCCAGCACTACAAGGTGCCCCCCAAGATTGCTCTGTTGCGAAAAAACAAAACACATCCAGCCTCTGCCTTATTCCCAGTTCCCAGCAAGCTGACTGTAGGTTTACCCTCTTTTCTCCCATTGCTCTGTCATACTTAATGCAGAGATGGACAATAATACAGTTGGAAATGCCTGCCTTTTAGCCCACCTACCTTGCTGTTGGGAGTGGCACAGACGGGATTAAAGAAGCTCAATCCTGGGGTCACCTCAGTGGGATCCTCCAGTTTGAAGGAGCCTTCGGAATCCTGGGTCTGTTCAACAGCGCCCAAGCTATCCTGAGAATCAAGCAGCCAGGCTTATTAGAAATTCAGCTGCCAGGGTTACAAAATCAGTTTTCTCCACTTCAACCATTGAGGTACTAGCTGATAGCCTTATCAGTCAGTCCACACAAGTCTTAGGGAATCCCTGCTCGGAGAGTTGGAAATGCTTGGAGGCAGCCTCTGGAGGCAAAGGATCAGGTAGGACAGCAGCATGGGACACAGCATAAGGCAAGGTTTAAAGCAAGGCTAAGCCAAGCCTTGGTCATTTCTTTGATTAATCTTCCCTCCTCTACAATCTGCAATGTCCTTTTTAGCATCTCTGCAGGGTGTTGTTTGTATTAGCTTCCTTTCGGGGAAGGAAACTGAGGCCAGGAGAGAGAAGTTACTTAGGTAACAAGGTACCTCTCCGATAGCGTTTGGTCTGGAATTATAACCTGTTGTCAAGGCAACAACTGGATTAAGAGTCAGGAGGCTGGAGGCCCAATCTCAGCTGTCACGATCAGCTGTGTAATATCAGGTGAGTCACTTAAGCTTATCTCTTAAGTTTAAGAAGGGACTTAATTTCCTTCTCTATAAAATGGAAGCATTGGACTAGGTCAGTGGTCTTACAGCTGAAATCTCTTAAGAGGAAGCCCAATAAATAAAAAGTAAAGAGCAAGTTGCTTTGGTTGACATGGGGCCAAACTGAGTCGGGCCACACTCCTCTGCCCAGAAGCACTTCCATGGAGCCACCACAGGACTCCGGATCCCAAACTGACTGACAAACCACAGGAACAGGGAATCCTTAAAGGTCCCTGCTGCTCCTCCGATTCTTAGCCTGACCTTTAGCTTGCCACTTTAGTCTGTGAATGATTACCTACTTACCTTAGAAGTATTTTTAATAGAAGACCCAGGGTGAAACCATTCACATGTAGATGTTCAAGAAATGCATGACTGATCATTAGACTAAGCTTGCTAGAATTATTGTCTCTCACGTAGAGCTGCAGGAGTGAGCTTTTGCCTTGGGCACAGGTAGGCGGAAGGCAGGTATGGGGATCTGAACTGCTTGGTGCTTCCCTTCTCAGCACACATTGTTTCCCTGAGTTTGCTATTCCTGGGCACAATATAAGGACAGCTAGTTAACTTGGCTCACAGCAGTGACTATTCAAAAACACCAAATTCCTATGGGTCTTTTCTTAGAGCCATGGAATAGCTGGTCCCTGGGGAGAGGGTCTAAGTACTTACTGTTTCAAGATGTCAGAAGGATTAACTTCCTTCTTGGAAGCTGCCACCTCAGCAAATGGCCCTGACAGTTCCAGTTAAGCCTCTGGACTAGTTTGATCCTGCATGTCTATATGCTTGTAAGTGCCTGCTTTCCTGTTTCTTGTTCCTGCCTCAGAAACTAAAGAAACTTCATAGTCAATGCTGGGGGTGGGGAGCTGCATATTCTAGAAATCTCTTGGGAAGGGCTGTAGATTCTGAAGGGGATGGGTGGAAAGGCTAGCAGTGAGGAAGAAGGACAGATGTGAAATGTTTCTTTTTCTGGTTGCAGAGAGAAGAAGAGTAGGAAGAGCTGTGCAGGAGACTCCAGGTTCAGGATGGAAGGTAGAGTAGAAAAGGGTCTACAGTGGAGGGAAAGTGTCAAGGGATGGTGAGGGGCAACAGCATTGCTCCTACCTTGCTTTGCTGACGGTTCCTACACTTTGTGGGGTCACAGCTGCAGTCCATGTCACAGTCTGACTTTTGCCTCCTGCACCCACACTGCTTGTTCCCACACCAGCCCTTGCAGGAACACTGCAGAACAGGTTTGTAGAGACATATTACTGAAAGGGCTTGAAGATCAAAGTGCCTTCCCTTCATTTGCAAGCCTTTCTAGAATAAATGGAAAGGACCATGAACTTTACCAAGCTACTGTCTCCTCAGTCATCTCTCCTTCAGGGAAACAATGATCAGCAGGAACCACCATAGGTTTTCTAAGAACAAGTTATGCCAGACAAATCTATTTTATTTTTTGGATTGTATACTTGAAAGACAGACTGGAGGGAATGCCATAACGATGTGGGGCAACAGAGACTCATAGTTTTATGGGCAAAGTGAGGAACTGCGAGCTGGATGGTAGTAGACGTACGTATATTTAAGAACTGAGTATAGTTGCTCGAAATCTTTAGATCTACCCAGCTTACTTTCATCCAACTCACATTTCTGCAGTTTGTTCAGTGTCAGCCTGGGCTTTGTCCTTAGCAGTTTAATCATTCAACAAACATTTTAATAAACCACTTTTGATATGAAATAAAATAATTTCCATCTGCATATAGCACTTTGCAGTTTTCAGAGTACTTTCAAGTACAGAAATACAAAATCTCATAACTAGTCTACAAAGCAGGCATGTTTATCAGCTATAACAATGACACAAGGCTGGAAGGATGATTAATATGTAAGATAACAGGATCACAATTCAAAAATATTTTGACAGGCTGCAATTATGGGCTGAAAGAAGAAAGAAAAGTTGTAACAGTGATAAACATAAGTCTGGCATTTAGGTTTCCCCCAAATTAGCCATATAAATCTAATATGGGGGAGATCTGGCTTAAAAGTAGTTTGTGCAAAAAGGGTTAGGGATTTGAGATGTCAGCAAGCTCCATGAGTCAACAGTGTGAAATGGCTGTCCAGAAGCAAACCAGTCAGGCAGAAATCTGGAGTTCAGAAATCATGGGGTACAACTGTTTCTCTACACCCTGGGTCAGACCTTGTGTGAAATAACAGATCCTATTTTAGGGTACCATAATCGTTTTCTCAGGCATATAAGAGCATAGACAAAACACGCACACAAAACCCACTGATGTCCTGACCCCTCCCTTAATAAGCAAAATACAAATATCACTGAAGCCTCCTGTCTGCCCTTTCCTGATACCATGTGCCTCCCTCCTTTCCGAGGGGCAAAGTCTCTTGAATTAGGTATGTATTATTTCCATGCATGTCTTGTACCACACATGAGTTTTCATTTTTAAAAAATGAGGAATTATCTTACACTTTTTAGAACTTTCTATAACTGGTATGTTATGTGTTGACACATGCAGCTCCAGTTCTCTTCATTCACACCCTATGAACATGCCACGATTTATCCGTGCCCCTCCTAGTGCCCGGACTCACACTTACCAGCAAGGCTGCAACAGTAATAGTTGACATTAATGCATGCCAGGCAGTGTTTTAAATGCTTTCCATGCATTAAACCCACTTGGTCAATAAGTGTGTTTCTGTATGCACATTCAGGAGTTCACTGTGTGTATGTGTTTAAGAAAGAGGATATTAAACAAAAAAGAGGTGGGTGGCCAGGATTGTAGAAAGTGATGTTGTAAGAGAAATGGTAGAAAAAAGTGAGATAGTTTGGCTTGGAAGAAACATAGGTGGCAGAGTTCACAGAATGATGGATTAGTCAGAAGAGACCTCAGCGATCATCTAAAGCCTGATTTGATGTATGAAGCCCTTCTCTAACATCCCTGGTCTAATTAGCTGAAGCTGTAGTTATCCTGAGATAAGAGCTTCTATATAACTTGTGACCACAGGACCCAATTCTGCCATCTGGATTGACATGGAATCAGTTTAACCCCACTTTCACAGTACAGTTCAAACCCTGAGCATAATTTTCACTCCTCTGTTCCCTTCTGTCCATATCCTTTCAGAGCAAAATATACCTTGCTCCCGCAATGATCCATCACATGACATGGTTTCCAAGAATCCTCACCACCTTGACTACATACCAATTTGTCCAAGTTCCTCTTTAATTGCAACATCCAGAAATGAGCATAATTTTCTGAAGGTGGTGTGACCATTGTGAAGTAGATTGATATAAACACCTTCCTAATTATGCACCCAACAATCCTGTTAATGAGACCCAAAGTCACAGCAGCTGTTTTCCCTTGTCATATCTTTGTGGATTCATACTTAGTTTACAGTTAAATGCAAGTCCTTAAGTCTCTTTCATATGACAACCACCACTGCTGTACTGTAGTCAGAAGGTAAAAGAAATCATTATAGCATCATTTTTTAACATTATGAGAATAACATATCATTTCATAAAATTTGAAAATCATAAATATGATTTTTAATATTTAATTGTTGTACATAGTATTTCATCATGTGGAACTGTTATTGAATCAATCCCCTAATTGTTAAATAAGGTTATTATCAAAGAAACTGTTTGATATTACAAATCACCTTACAATGAATATCCTGCTAGATGAACACAATCTACATCTTACTATGGTTGACAAAGCCCTCCATGATCTGGCCCCTGACTGTCCCTCTGACTTGATCTGTACTGCTGTCCTCTCTCCCTCTCTCAATACACTCCAGTCATACTGGCCTTTTCAGATGCTCCTTGATAAACCAAGCTCATCCTGCCATGACATCTTTGCATTTGCCATTCCCTTTTCCTGGAATGGTTTTCCTGATTCTTTTTCTGACTTGTTCCTTCACTTTGTTCAGATCTTAGCTTAATTATCTGCTCCTCAAAGAGGCCTCTCCCAATCCCTCTTCCAAAGTACTCTTTTCCTACCTCATATTCTTGATGACTTCACTGTATTTTCTGTTTATCTTTTATCACCACCTAAAATTATTTTATTTGTTTTTCTGGTCACTGTTTGTCTCTCTCCACAAGAATGTCTTCAGTTCCATGAGGCCAAGATCTTACCTGTCTTGTTCATTGCATCTTTAGCACCTAGAAACAGTGCCTGATACATAGGTGCTCAAAAAAGATTTATTGAATGAATAAATCTTTTTTTCATACCAATGAGGATTTCCTTAGCATAAGTTCCTATGTGTATAATTGCTGAGCCAAGGGATAGGAACACTTTAATAAAGGTTTTTGACACATATTTTCAAGTTGCCTTCCAGAAAGGTATACCAATTTATACTCCTAATAGCAATAGACAGGAATGCCCAGCTTAGTCTCTCTCACCAACAATGGACATTATAATAAAAATAGAAATCTTTGCTTCTCTGAATAAGACAGGGCAAAATAATTCTATGACATGTCCTAGAGACACCTCACTAGGATGAAACCGATCCATTGATTGCTGTAGGCTGGGTGTAGTCCTCTGATGATTTGTAAATTCATCTAAATGCCTCAAAAATACTCTATTACCATGTCCATATGTTTCTATTTTATCCAAAGGGATAATAGTATGAAAGTGGTATCAGGAGGGCTGTGATAAGGAAGAACAGTTAGACTTTTACAGAGCCGCTGGAAAGATTTATAGAAGAGCACATTTTAGCTCAAAAAGGAACAATTTTCTAACAGTGGATTACAATGGGCTGCTCTGTGAGACTATGAGCTTCTCCCTACTGGAAGTTTTCAAGCAAGCAGAAGCTACATAAACACCTGGTTAGTGGTATTATAGAACAGTCATACAGACATACATGACATACATGACATATGTAGTCACATGAATGCCATGTGCACTGGCTGTAACTTCATCCTACTCTTTCTCACACCAGGACGCAGATCAGAATGTAAGCGAAGGAGCATAGACATATGCCATAGACATAACCTCAAATACATATGTATATGGTATGTGTGTGTATACATGTGTGTGTATCACAACTGCTGGCAACCCATCAGCACGTCCCAACCCAACAGTTGAAAACTAACAGAGGAATTCTTTATATAGAGTGGGAAACAGAGCTGAAAGAACTTGGGGGTTCCTTTTAGCCAGTACTTCTCAACCCTGTCTGCACACAGGAGATCTCTGGGGAGCTTTTTAAAAAACCAGGTCCCATCTCAGGTGGGGTCCCAGGCTTCCAGTGTTTAAAAGTCCCCTTGGGGTTTCTTATGTATAGTGAGGGCTGAGGACTATTGCCTCAAAGTCTGTAATTCTTTTAGCACTAATTTGAGTGTTATACTGTGTCTGAGAATGATTAAGACCTGGTAAAAATTTTAACATAAAGAATATCAGCCTAGGAATTAGGAGACTTGGGCTCTAGTCCTATATTTAATACCTGGCATGACCTTGGACGAGTCATTTCATCCAAGTTCATCTCCATTCTTTCATCAATAAGGTAGAGACAAGAATACCTTCTCACTCTTTGCCAAAGGGGACAAATGAGAATATTTGTAAAATGTTGACAGTGCTTCAATAACAATACCTGCATGATATTTTATCCTCACAAGGTGTTTTTTGCCTATATTCCTTCTTTTAACTTCTCAGATACTACATAACATCATACAAAGGTGTTATTAAACTCATTTATTATCCCCCCCTCCCCACCAAAAAAAAGCCAAATCCCATTTATACAGCTTTGACTCTGGATATTGTGCTGGAAGAGACCTTATACATCATCTATTCTCCTCTAATCCCTTCACTGTATAAATCAGGAATCGGAGGCCTAGGGAGATTAAGGGACTTGCTTAAGGTCACCCAACTATCCAGTGGGAAACTCAAGACTAGAACTCATGTCTACTTGGCTTCTAAGCTATTAACTTTTTTTCCTATAGCACATGGCCTAACCCTCAGCATCTCCTTTACATACAGGAAACATGGCTGAGTGAGGAACCCCCTTTTTCAGCATTAGCTTTGAACAAGTCATCATTTCGATGCCTGCTGCGGTCTCCTTTGGAGTAACCTAGGGGTCATACCAGCTCACTCCAGCTGTGTTGGAACAAATAATCACCTTCATGCAAAGCATCAAGGGCTACATCTAATGCATCTTTGAGCAGTCTGATCACAGAGCAGACATAACATCCATGCACTTCGAAGTTGACAAAAGGTAAAGACTAGATTGCATGCTTCCTTGTTCCCCTTAAAGCACAGTTATACTCTCTTCTCAAGTAATAAGATCAGTGAAAAAGCCTAGAAAAGAATTATCTTTCACTGTTTCAGACAGAATTTATCACTGGTAGCAAATATTTGCTATACTTACAAATTTTGTTATACTGCTGTATTTCCTTTTTAAGCTTGGAGCAACAGTGCTGTAATACATATAATATGCTTTCCCTGAGGACAAGTATGTACCCATATTTGCTTCACATTTGGAAATCCTTCCCAGGGGTTTTAGGTCCTCTATCATTTGTTTCTGTGTGTACTTTTCAACTCTGTTTCTTATTAGTTAGCTGACCTTTTCATCTTCATTCAGCTCATGCTCTCCACTGCATCCAGAGCAGAGTCCATAAATGTTTGAGTAAGTGAATGGAATTCAGACATGTTCTGCCCCATCTTCTCCCAATGTCCTAAGCCTCTGTCCCTCTACTACCTATTTGTGCAATATACTATTGTGTGCAAGATACATTGAGCCAGAAATGGTCTTCCAGTTGCTCCCAAGACTTATTTCCCTGTCTTATACTGCAGCAATAGTCATTGCCTTCATGGCATCTCCTAAACAATATCTACTTGGTTTGACTTTATAGTCACTCTTTCTAAGAGTTAAAAAGTCACTCTCTTTAACTCTTAAGTCTACCTCCCTGAGATGAGCTTGCTGTGGTTTTGTGGTGTGCTTCTACTGCTTTGCCTCATTTTCCCACTAGATTATAAGCTCTCTGATGCTAAGGACAAACTCTTAGTTCCACTAAGAGCACACACTATGCTGCACTCTTCATGACTCTTCCCAAATGAATTCATGCCACCATGACTGCCTATTCCTCCTAACTTGCTTCTTTTTGGTGTTGCAGCTTTATAAGGTTTAGTCCCCCGTGTCCTATACTACCAGCTACTGCAGTCAAGTAACCCTCCAGGAAGCTAGCTGGGGTAATGTGGGAACTGTTCTCTTTAGATGGAATATGGCTACAGGGCACAGTTGGGGTAATGGTGAACTATGTGGTGCCTGGGAAGTTAATGCTTCAACATCAAACATGTCAGTTTGGTAATTATGTGGGACTAGCATTGTATTAGTAAATAAAGCATGTCTTAAAGTCAGGCTGTTCCTAACTCTCCTTAACTTGGTGTGCTCAATCTTAATGACTAGACTTTCCTATAATTCCTGCTGCCCCTTAGCCTAGTGAGAAAAATCATTTTATTAGGAAAGAAAGATAACATTCCCACTTAGCTTCTGGTTTGTATTTTTAACTGATACGACCATGATGTGGTAGAAACAAACTGGACTTGGAATCAGAATATTTGGTTTCAAGTCCTGACTATCACTTTTAATGACCTTGGGCAAGGTCATTTCCCTCCTGTGATCCATCCTTCTCTCAGATCCATCTGTAAAATGCAAACAATAGGCACCTCACTGGCGTTTTTGTAATGATGAAAAGAGATAACATATATGAAAATGGCATATAAACTGTACAGTGCTATAAAAATGTGAAGGATTACTCAGATCACTTTGGAAGCAGCCTCAGTGAAGTGGTATAGAACAGCAATACCTACTTAGACTGCTAGGAACCTGACAACATGAAGAGAGCCACCTTGTGCCCTCTGACAGCCCTCTCTACTAGCTGTGCGGCCCACCCAGTGCTAGCCCAACGAGCACTCGGCAGCGGGGCCGATGCCTCTGAATGGGAGATGGGGCTCGGGTGCGCAGTATGGGGCTCTCACATTCCGTTCCCACTGGCAGTGAAGACTAATGACTAGAATCCCTGATAGAGATGACAGCTGCCTCCTACCCCTTGGATGTTCTTCTTGGACACCTTGACTAATTTTGTTGGCTTCCATTCCTCATCATCCCCTTCATCCCCATTGTCATCATCATCCTCAGGCTCATTCACAGAATGCTCTGAATGATATTTTAGATCCTCGATGTCCATGCTTTGTTCCAGGAACTTTTCTTTAAAACGGGTAGGTTTTGGCTATGAAAAACAAGTTAGGGATGGTTATTTAATGAAATAAAAAAAACACATGTAGATCATATCTTCCTAATAGCTGTTGCCAGTTATATTCTCTGAACAGAGATTTCAGACTCCCTCAAATATACCCCACTTGGCTTTACCAAGTAGAAGAAATTTTGCTTTAGCCTTTGGCCTTGCAGTCACTGAAGGCATAGAAACTGAGTAAACTGAGGGATGAAGGAGGGACTCATGATATGGTGAGATAGAAATCCTTGGATGGTCAGGAGAACACTGCTATTTTCTCTTGCTCCTCCTCTTCAGTTGTGTTTCATAATGCCTGTGCATGGCCCAAAGTCAGGCTTCTGGGGAGGAAGAATGCCTAATTTCCTCAAGATTGTACTCAGGTTTTATCTGGGACTACAAGGAAAACTGAGATGCTGAAATTTAGGAATTTTAAATCTCAACCTCCTATAAAAAATGCTTTTTGCACACTTACCCCAAACCATGGCTATGTGAGGGTATCAACAGCACTGAGCAGTTTACCTTAGGTGGGACATATTCAAAAGAAGAGTCTGGAGATAGAAGAGTATTCTTCGGAAGATGAGGTTTCTGTCTGCTGGCTACTTGGAGAAGGGTCAGTTTCTATTTGAAAAGAGGAAACAAAATGTATTTTGCAGGGCAGCTTCTGGGGGTGTTCATGGCTAAAACAAAGATTCCTAAGTTAATTTTAAACCATAGTAAGTGAGGCAAGGTAAGAATAAAGTAGGTTGAAGGACTCCCACTTTACAAGATCAGTATTAGATTCAAAAAAGAGTAAATTTAAAAATGTTTATACTACGATTAGCAGACAAAATGTGGGAAGGGGTGCACAGGGAGGGCAGTACAACACAGAGAAGACAAGTAGTGATTCTATAGCATCTTACTACGCTGATGGACAGTGACTGTAATGGGTGTCTGGGGGGGGGACTTGATGATGGGGGGAGTCTAGTAAACATAATGTTCTTCATGTAATTGTACATTAATGATACCAAAAAAATATGTTTATACCATTTTGAAATGTTCTTGACTATATCACATGAGAACTTGATGTAGACCTCAAAAATACAGCCAAGTCATCAAACTCAGGGTTGCTCCCAAGAGCTGGGCTCAGCCGCAAATGGTTCTCCCAGGGCTTGTTAAGTGGGTGGGAAGCTGTGTTACCTGCTTGATGATTTCATTCTCTTGGAGAAGCTGCTGATTTTGTTCACACACTTGTCGCATCTTCTCAAGTTCTTCATCCTATATCCAGGTAGTGTGCAGTGATAGGTAGGGTTATTTTGGACACTACATATGGTTACCAAACAACTCACACAGATAAAAACATACTGCTGCCAAGTTGCTGGCAGCAGATAGTTTCTGCACGGCAGGCATTGGCACCCAGAAAAATGCCCGATTCCCACCAGTTCCTAGCTGTCCTGAATGCCTCTTCTATTCCATTGCTCCCAAGCAGCCCTGACCACACTTGCAGGAACCATGGGCTCTGCCCTAAACGCCTTCTTTATCCTTCTCTATTCTCTAGCCTTACATCCCTTAGTCACATCAGGATACTGATTAAGAAACCCACATGGTAGGTTAGCTCTGTTTCTCTGAAGTCTATAAATGCTTTTGTTCATCTTTCTCAACACATACTAGGCAGTTTATTTGCTACTCTAATAAGACTGATTCAACTTCCTGGCACCTAAGACAACTGGATTCAGAGATACTACCTTAACTAGTTTGGTTATGTCTTTGATGAGAGGTGCCAAGGAAACCCTAGAGGAAAAAGATCCTAAGTTGTACAAAATAATGCTCTAACATGCTACTAAAGGGTGTGGTGTTCCCGGCCTCTGGAAGAAATTCAGACCCAGGCATTTTACAAACATGTTACACCTCAGCTCAGAAGAACAGGCTCAGGAAGAGACAGCTGAATACCCCTAGCTGTCTACTGGATGATTTGACTTTTTCAACTCTTTAGAGCTCAGGGTTGAGGCAAAAAACCAGGAAGACTCAGAGTCTGGTGTGAGGCATATACAGTCATTTCTATACCAAAAAGGAGGATATTCCATGTGGAGTACATTCTAAAGACTTCTAAATTGATCAAATAGGGCCAAAGACAGTAGAGACTACCATTATAAACCTTTTTCAGTAGCTAGTTACTCTGCTGTAAGAACAATGGTCTAAATCAGACAGGATTCTCAGCCAGGCCTGTGGAACCCATCTCTGGAGCCCATTGCCTCATGGCCATACCTGACACTTCAGTGTGTTCAGCAGCTGCTGTTCTTTTTCACTGACTGACTCCTCCAGCTGCTTCTCTGCCATCTGGCTTTGCTGCAGCTGACTGAGAAGGTACAGCACCTAGAGAAAGATACAACCCAGTGCAACCAAAGGAACAAGAAGAAAAAGGAATTCCAGTTTAGTTCAAGCAGTGATACAGATGACTCCTCTCTGACTTAGAAGTAAACTGTTCTCCTTTGTTCCCTGGCTTGAAGTAGTAAGCAGAGCCACAATGTACATCAGCAGGTTAATCTTGGTATTAAAGTTGCAGGCTAAGAGCCATTGTTACTGGTATGTATAAACTTAGAAAAGTCATTTCTCTCTGTTTCAGGTTTCTTATTGGCAAAATTTGGAAATACCACATGGTCTTTTGAAGGAAACTTCATACTGTATACTATATATAT